GTTCGGCCTACGGCCTCACGCAATTATGGCTTCTTTGTAAAACAAACTTGTGCAAACTAATTCCAAATTGTCGAAACCATCTTATTACCTATACAAATTTCCCCGATACCTCGGGAAAATGTGTAAAAGACTTCCACAAATTTTTGCTCGGTTTCGGGGAAATTCAATCAATAATTTCCCTCGTTCCATGGTACTTATAATTGTAGCACCTTGTCATTACCAACATCGCAAAATCAAGTCATAATTACATTATAAAAAAATACGCAGTCTAAGACTGCATGTGGCTAGTGCTACAAAATATAAGTTTCGTTTTCTAAGCCAAACTCATGCAAATAAAACTTTTTTAGAACCATTCAATTTTTTAAAAAACTTAAACTTTAAACTTAACTCCTTCCCGTCCGACTATGCAAATATAGGACTTATTCGTCCTATGCTTTAAAAAAWCATAGCTTCTCAAAATCATGCGACAAGAATCTAAAACTTTATCCAGCAAGACGCCTAGTAAATACAATGAAACCTAGAGCACAACAAATAACACATCGACCAGAAAATCAGGGGGAAAAAGGCCCTGGATCTCAAGAAAATTGAAATTTAGATTTTTAGCTAATTTAGATAAAGGTGAGAAACACTCAATTTCGAGTGTCAAAATGCATTTTCCCAGCAAAAAGGTCCATTTAATTTGGATACTCCATCAAAGTCTATACAGATTGAGAAAAAGMTCTGTTTTGAAGACCCAGTCCATCAAACTCGCATGCACGCCCGAAGAGCATCATGGGAAGGCCTAAAAATTCGACATGAAGTATGCAGGATTCTCGTTTTCTAGCATTTYTTAGAAGTGCCGAGTCACTCGCACCTACAGGCAAAATATTGCACCGATTGCTTTCTTTGGTTGTTAAAACTTCCCAAATTTACCTTGGTAGGCTCGGAAATCTGCCACAAAAGGACCAAAGAAGCGACTTTACTCAAACGACTCCAGTTCAAAACAAACCTTGTCTTGCAACCGTTCTCCTCGAAAAATCGCTTCTCACTTCTGATTTTTTCCAGAAGAGTGTCTCCACCACCTAGTCGAGCTTAATGATGCCGTCCTAGGGSTTCTTGTGCAGAAAATGACTCAAAAATACACTTATAAAGTCCATTTTTGGCGAATTCAAGGCCGATCACTCGCTAATCAAACGAGCTATCTTGAATTCCCCAGGCGTCTATGAAATGTACATTCCCTAAGGAGTTTGATTCAGCAAAATTTTGATTGACAGCTCTACATATGGAGGTCAAAATAATTTTTAATATTTTGGATCGAAAAATGCTTGAAAATCAACAAAATATCCACGGACGTCAATGAGTTAAACTTTTTGTAAAAGCTCTAGTTAACAAAATTGTCTTCTCTTTGAATACGTTTTACGTCTTTAAAGATATCGTCGAGCGTCATATGTTTTTGAAGGAAAAGTTGAAAATTAACAAAAAATTGGAATTCCTGTGGCAATGAATGACGTTCAAAGTCCCATAAGGAGCATGCGCTGAACGTTTCGATTGCGTTAGTTAGCAAAGTGTGTACACTGGTAGATGTCCAGTGTAAGCAGTCCCGACAAGCTTATCAAATTGTCTCGCGTCTAAAATGGCCAAATCTTGCATATTAGGATGACTTGTTCGGCGACATCGACTGGCATGCCTACCTGGATGCTGAGAAGAAGAAATAATCTGAATCTGAAGTCAAGAATATCAGCAAGAGAACAACTTATAGCCAGGAAGTGCAGTCGATCGTGGTCAAGAATGTACCGCCGTTGGATCGAGTCAACAATGGTTGGTTTTGCGAAAGCGTTTTGTAACTTCCACTTAGGAGTGTTTGGATTCTTGTATTTATTTTGATAGTATTCTCTACTTTTTAATAGATGAGGTGACGGTTTCAGCCGCCATTTTGTTCCGGTAGGCAAAGTGTCGCAAAATAACAAGGAATGACCGGGAAATCRATGTCAAATAATTCTCGCTGAATTCAAATTCMGAAAGAATTATCAATTGCAAACGTTAGATACCTCAAAAAGGAGTTAACGGGCAAAATTTAAAAGGCGTACTTGATCTAGAGAGCGAGTAAACTCATTCTTAATTAGTTCTCCATACATTTCTTTGTAAGGGTTTTGACAAATGTAGCCTTGTCTGCTAGGAATGAGATGTTTTGAGTTATGAATCCGAGCTTTCGCCGTCTACGGCATCATCAGGGAATGAGTAGGAAAATGCAAACTACAGTATGCATTTTCCTACTCATTCCCTGATGATGCCGTAGNGACACAGGTGACACGATGTTACAAGAAGGGCATAGATGTATATGACATTTATGACAACACACAAACTTATAATAACCACAATCGTCATCAACATTTTATAAATCAAATCGCTGTCATATCTGTAATTGAAGAGTCCTGATGACAATAACATAAACATTATTTCCCTTTTAGGACCAGCACCATTGAGGTTACTGCATAAGACATCCTCAAAGTCATCAGTGCGGGGTATTTTACAGATTTATTACAATCGTGTCTGGGGAACAATATGCGATGACGGATGGTCATTGGCTAGTTCAACTATAGCATGTAAACAGCTTGGCTACCAGTTTGCAGTTATGTCCAAGCACTTAGGACAAGGACCTGATCCAATTTGGCTTGATGATGTTAAATGTAACGGCGTTGAACCGTCACTAGACCAATGCCATCACAGAGGATGGGGTATTCATTACTGCGATCACAGTGAAGATGTCGGCATCGTGTGTATTACTAGTAAGTACATCTTGATAGTAGTACTACATTTTTAATAAAATGATTAAAACGAGCGGTTAACTAATATGAACTGCGTCGGCGTTCGAAAGAAAGAGTTGTGTGAAATACGATAAATTATTCATTGTAAAAAATCATTGTAACAACTTTCTGACAATTTTTGATGCTATTCCGTCGTAATAGTAATAAAGTAATAAAGAAATTACTGTAATAATGATAATAATGTTATTTCAGAAAAAGTGTCTTTTAATTGGTCATGACCACTCGTCCATTTCGTCTCCTACTGATTAGAGATTATTTTTCTTACACAGAAACAGCGCCATTGAGATTGTTAAACAAAACAAAACCTGCTTCATCATTAGTGCAAGGTGTTTTACAGATTTATTACAAAGCTTCATGGGGTACAATATGCGATGGCGGATGGTCCTGGACTGCTACAAACATAGCTTGTAAACAGCTTGGCTACCATAGTGCAGCGACATTYAARTAYTTGGGAMARGGACCTGATCCAATTTGGCTGGATGGATTGAAATGCAATGGCAATGAATCGTTACTAGATCAGTGCCAACACCGAGGATGGGGTATTCATAACTGCACCCACAGACAGGACGTTGGCATCATGTGTAATACAAGTAAGGAACTCTTAATTCTCATACTAGATGTTGAGTATCAACGAAAGTGCACTTCAAAGGGTTAGTTATTTTCTGGTGAAAGTGAAACACTTATCATCTGAAGTTTAATGCAAGACTCAACTTTTGTACTAAACTACAACAAATAACTTTTATGTGTGAACTTTTAACGCTTTACATGCATGCAAACGCCAAGAAATGTAAAACAAATCAAACGTTCAGAGGCTTACAAAATTGTAAATGTTTCGGCTTTCCTTTTATTTTCATTTCTTTATCAAAGAGACAATATACAATTCTAGCTAAATACATACACGGGAAAATGCACGTCGCTTGCGACCTGCAAACCGGGGCAATTCTGATAGTGAATGTGATATTTAATATACCAAATACAGTATACTGCATAGTGCATTCCAATAGCGCAATGCAATGATGCACTGTTATTTTCAAGGAGTTTTTATACTCCATAAAAGGCGTTAAAAAAGGTTAGCGAAATTATGGATCCCTTTAAAGTGATTTTGACTCTCTTTCCAATTTGATTTATACCAGTCTTGTGTAAAAACTAGTTCCAAGGTAATGTGCATTTCTCTGCGTTAGTTGCGTTACCAAATATTTCTTGAATTAGCAGTACATAATGTGACAGGACTAACAAATTGTTTTAATAATACGAGATAACAAGTTAGGAGTGATGACGACTATCGAAATTGTCTTTTTCTTAACATATTGCTCATCCCATTCCAAAAATGCTGATGTAGTTCTCATTTTCACATATGTAATATTTCAATTAATAAGAGAGCGGTTCAGGAAATAACATTGAACAGAGATGTGAAAAACGGAAAAATACCAAAATAATCCCAAAGACAAGTATGAGTTCTCGATGAACAC